ATGAAGGCTGTGCGGAGGTGAAGATCTAAATCGCGGTGATGTAGCCGTCCAGCCGAACTGTCTGGGCGTGAGCCCTTAGCCAGACTAAGCACTGCCACGCTGCAGACTGATCGATTCCGGCTGCCATGCTTTGTGCAGGAAGGCTGTATTTTTCATTCTGTCACACCCTTTCGCACCTCTTAAATATTTACTCGCCGTTGCATGGGGACATTCCTCTCACAGCAATCCGTCTGTAGCACAACGTCGGCGGTTTTGCTCATGTTTGGCCGTGAAGATTTTCAGCTGGAGGCACGTGGTGACGCAGACAGCGAGGCAGCCTCACTCCCACGAAGCGCTGCCTCTTCCAGGAGGCATCAACAGACTGGGGCCGCCGCTGCCTGCTGATGCAGTTTGTGATATTTGATTTATAAACTTCTCTTTGGGGCTGTGATTTCATCACCCGCAATGTGTGGCCGAGCGAGGAGGAGCCGCTGTCGCTGTGAATAATAGGAGAGTCTTATACAGTACATGTCATTTTTACATGCATAAAAGCATCTAAACTCATATATAAGACAGAATTAAGCAGCGATCCTCATCTGTCACCACAAGCGGATTGTCCTCTCCAGTAGCACAGGACTGTCTTTGTTCCTTGGATGAGTCCCGGTTAGCTGAAAAGCTGGAATTTTCCATCATATTTGTTGTGCTTTGGGTTTGTGCCTCTGATTGAGCGCCCTTAGCGTTTAGCGCAGGTCAGTATGAATGTGTGCATCACATATATCAAAACAGCTCTCTTTTTATTTTGATTCTGCACGACATTTATGGGTTATACAGTCTTATATTACACATTCCATATGTGTGGAACATGAAGAATAGCTGCAAGAAAACAGTATGGCTCCTTCACCTCATCTTCGAGTGATTTTGTGATCTTATAACCATTTAAAATGGAAAAATAAATATAAAACTCCCTGTCATGTCCCTTGGTGAGATATGTTACCGATGATCTAGCCCAGCACCTGTCTTCCCAACACAATGCATAAAGATTACCATAAAGAGGTTGTTTTTTGCCAAGTGAAGACTAGGCCCATTTCCCACAAACTTCCACACATGGTCGAGTAAAATCTCCAAATAAAAGCCACAGCGTGGATGAAAGTCTGCCAGACCCCAGGTGTGACGTCCCTGCGCTTCAGGGGCGGGGCGGCCGAGTGGGGGCTTGTGTAACAGTATGAGGTGCTAGGAAGTTGAGCGCAGGGCTTGGAGCGTGATGGCTAGAGGAATCCTTCCCCCGGGTCCCTGGCTGGAGCTCAGGAAGGGAGTTTCCAGCCAGTAGGGCAGGACACACTGTTTCGCATTATGTACGGAGCCCCGGGACTCTACCTGAAATAAAGCAGATTTCCCACAAACAACCCAAGTCCGTGTCCCCTTCACTGACTTTGTTGTCCATAATCTATGTTTTTATAGGGCCGCGAAAGCCAGAGATGTCGACGCAATGTCGTCATGTGGCAGTGTGATGACAATAAGGCTTCTTGACTTTGCAGTCCTTCTTTACTCTGCCGTTCACCGCCAAACCCCGGGTGAGACGGAATAGGGTGTGAAATGGGTTTTCCCAGTTCTGAGGCGCCTTCCTTCACAGGGTGCTGTTCCTGAGGCCAGTTCACAGATGGAGCGAACTGGGGGAGAGCCTTTCTATTTCTGGGCACTTAATGGGGAAGCCGCGATCGGCCTGCATCCCCCCGGCCAGAGCAGAGTCCCCTGGCGCTGCCATGGAGAGCGCTCTGGGTAGATTGAGTTGCAGGACACTCAAAATAGACACAGAGAGGGAAAGCACTCTCAGAGAGGCGGCAATTCAGTTTGATTGTGGCAGTCAAACAATCGGGCTCTTCTTACAAGAAAACTAGGTGGCAGTTTGGAAGGACTGGCCCATGCACTAAGCAGAGGTGAGATTCTATTTGCTTGTGATGTGGACAAAACTAATACTAACTTAGAGGGAAACTTAATCTTGGGGGGAAAAAGATCAGAACAAAATTAACACAAACTAAACTAGCAGAATTTTTCTGATTTTAATATTCTTTAAGAATCTTGTTAACATTCATTGGAGCAACTTAAGATGCATCGTTCTTCGTGTTCCTGTTCCTTTGATTTCATATCCTGCCTGTATAAAGTTAAGGTGTCCTCCTTTCTAGTATGTACTAGAAAGTTAGTATGGATGGCAAGATTGAAGTTACTCTTATATAAGTGTCTGTGTGGCCAGGGTGGGGAACAAATACCCAAGGCTCGCTTTAATCATCAGTACAGAATAAATTACTGTCATATTATTAAATGCTGAGAAATATCGTCAACGAAAGAAGGAAGAAAGTAACACAAACACATCTGTGGACACTTTTGACTTGGAGCCAGATTCTACCCACAAGTCATACCTCGGAAATGCCTCTGGGCATGTCCAGCAGCCGTGGGCTCTGCAGGCTCCTGCCCACTCTCTGGGTCAGCGAAGGCTTCTCATCTTACTGCACAGCAAGACACATGTGCATTCAGCGGCCCTGCTGAGGAACCATGCGATTTACGGAGGAGGTGAACTGAGAAGGAGCTCGGTGTCTGCAATGAGCTGAAACACAAAGGTGCACGTCGGTTGGGGGACCATCATGCTCTCTTTCGAGAACATGTTGTGACATCACCATGGGAACCGCGGTGCTCCGGTGGGAACCGCGGTGCTCCGGTGGTATCGGTGCAGCCGTGTTTCTGTTGCGGCTTTGGCTCTTATATGAAGGTTTGCATGCCCCCCCATGTTAGCTCCCAGTTCCTCTCCCAGTCCAAAGACATGCTGCTGGGGGAGGGGTGTCCCCAGTTAATAGTATATATGTTCATGAAGCCTCTGGCAAACTGGAATCTTAGCCAGGGCAAGTCCTGCCTCATGTCTGTCGGATTGTAGGCTGTCTTCACAGATATGGATGGATGGTGGGATGGATGGATAATTAATAATTCATTGGAAATCCACATTAAATAGGAACATGTAGTTAGAATCAGAACATATACATTATACATGCAGCACAGTCAGGTATGTGTGGGTGATGCAGAATATTTTAATGAAGAGAATATTCAATGAATGTTATCTATTTCTGTTCTTCCCTAGTGGATATTATTTATTGACAAATTTCCCCAGCTCTTCTGGCAATAAGGGGTTGAGTCCATGCTGCAGCTGAAACTTTTAGTAACTGTTTTAGTTATTATCATGGCATCATTAGAAACTGATTGAATATGCATGTCTGTTTGTTGGAGAGAATAGCGACTTTCTGCGGTTCTCAAATCGCATGGATCCAGGTCACATTCTCTATGTTCTTCTGTATACAGTTAGAGAGGCTGTACCTGGGGTACAGCAGCAGCTCTCGAGCTGGAATGTTAATTGGCATCATTTAGGAGGCAACCTTCAGTTCACGAAACAACGAGCCAGTTACGCTCAGATGCTTTTGCTTTGGAAATTATATGTAAACATTTGCATAAAAACCGTTTGCTATTGCACAATTTCCATATCTTTAACATGATTAGCTCTAAGCTTTCTGGTCGGCTTCCAAATACGTTCTGCGCTAAACTAGCCCCTGAGTATTTGGGCCACGTCCCTGCACTCCAAGACACTTCACTGTAAAAAGGCCTCATTAGATTTTCATTAGGAAAATTTGGGTCAGGTTTGCGTACACGGCTGTCTATTCGAAGAGCTTGTCTTCCTACCTGCGGGGACAGATCTGATGGCAGTAGGCAGGAAGCCTCGTCGTATGTCAAGCAAAGGTAAATAACAGAATGAGTGTGTTTATCTTCTCTTTATATGTCTGGCTGCGACAGGCTGAGCAGATAACTGGCATTATCTTTCTACAGCCCCGTCCTACAGGCTGTTTTTTTTTCTCATGTCATGTGAAAACATACTATGTACATTATCCATCTTACCAGCAGCCCTGTCTTAAACGAACAGGGGGGGGGGAGATGAGAAACTGAACTGGGGGAAAAAAATCAAAGGGTTGGACAGATGCCGGGTGCCGGGTGGGTTGGGTGTCTGCTTGCAGGACCGGGATCTCTCACCCCTGTGTGTGGCCTTCTCTGTGGAGAACACGAGGGCCCCTCTTCATCCTGCCCAGGTCATTAGATACACGGTTTACATTAGCCTGTGAATGTGATCTCTCCTTCATTTTTAAGGGGGTGGGGGGGGGGTTGTAGAGCTGTTGCATGTCCCTGGCTCAGACTAAAGAGTCTCTGAAAATGCCCCTGCTTCCCGAGAATGCAAGCCGGTAGCTCCGTGCTTATTTACAGACTGCTGTAGAGAAACACTATTAACAGGAAGAAGTGACACAATAACAAGCCACCTCTTCAGAGAGCAGAGAATGAGCGTTTTGGAAAATGCTTTGGCTTTTGTTTTTTTTTTTCCCTCCTCTCTGAAATCGTAGTGTTGCTTTATTCTGGGGACTTTGCTGTTAAATGTTGCATTTGCCTGTTAAGTTTTACACCCACATTTCTTATGCTGGACTTAATAATTTAAATAAATCATGAGATTTTTGCTTTTACGATGGTTGATTTGAACAGGTGCCGTGTGTGTTTTTTTGTCTCGAAGTGGATAGGCCTGTTTTCTTTTGTGTGTTAGCCGAAGCCAGTGGAGCGGCGTTTAAATGGCCTTATGAGCTGAGCTGAGGGTCTTTAAACAGCAGAGATGCCTCCTTCACCCGTCTGCTTTGGAGAAGAGAGACCTGACATTGGAGCTCTAACCGTGGCACTGTAATCCTTTTGCTGCCCTTTGCTTGTCCGTAGTTGTTGGTGTTTTTGTTATTACTTCCATTTTCCATCCGCAGCTATTTGCATGGGGAGGGGGGGGCTTTAGCAGTGCAGTGAGCACATACGTTTTAGCAGATCAGAAAGGGTGCTTCTCCCTAATTCTGAATGTCTGTATTACTCCTATATGCTTTCCCCCCAAAGCCAGTATGTCTTGCCCTGAGTCAGTCCCACGGTTAGTCACATATCTAACCCATCGTTCTGCATTTGTGCCTCAGCTGAACTCCCCCATGAACCCAGTCAGCAGCTCCGAGGACATCAAGCCCCAGCTGGGTCTGAACGGAGTCATGAAGGTCCCGGCTCAGCCCTCAAGTACCGCGCTCTCACACACCAAGCACATCTGTGCCATCTGTGGGGATCGCTCCTCGGGTGAGAGCACCGTGAGAGCACCATCAGAGCACCGTCAGAGCACCGAGAGAGCACCGTGAGAGCACCGTTAGAGCACCGTGAGAGCACCGAGAGAGCACCGTTAGAGCACCGTTAGAGCACCGTTAGAGCACCGTGAGAGCACCGAGAGAGCACCGTTAGAGCACCGTGAGAGCACCGTTAGAGCACCGTTAGAGCACCGTGAGAGCACCGTTAGAGCACCGAGAGAGCACCGTTAGAGCACCGTGAGAGCACCGTTAGAGCACCGTTAGAGCACCGTTAGACCACCGTGAGAGCACCGTGAGAGCACCGTGAGAGCACCGTTAGAGCACCGTTAGAGCACCGTTAGAGCACCGTGAGAGCACCGTTAGAGCACCGTGAGAGCACCGAGCCCCTTACAAACCACCACCAGGGCTGTGGGAGTTGGTGACACATCAACAAAACTGTGCTTGAGGAATCATTCTCTGATTCTTCCAGTTTTTTATTAGTTGGTCTAAATTCCCACAATTGGCTGCGAAAGTGAAGGTGTGGCACTGGTCCAGAAGAAAATGGTAGAGGCCTGTGAAAGTAGACATAGGACTGTGAAGCTCAGTAACATTCAACCTGGTTTGCTTCTGCCAAGTTATATAAGTCAGTTTACTCGGGTTTACATGAGGTTAACGTCTGATCATTGTCTTTCACCGTGTCCAACCTATGCAGTGCTGCTTGTGTAAGATTCACCTTGTGACTTCTTGCAGGGAAACACTATGGCGTATACAGCTGTGAGGGATGCAAGGGTTTCTTCAAGAGGACGGTGAGGAAAGACTTGACCTACACCTGCCGAGACAACAAGGACTGTATGATCGACAAGCGGCAACGGAACCGATGCCAGTACTGCCGCTATCAGAAGTGTCTGGCCATGGGCATGAAGAGGGAAGGTATGGCATTTGCTGGAGCGGGCAGAGCCGTGCTGCACCGAGCAGCTCAGGACCATAGCATCTCTACTCTGACCAGTGTCTCTGCTGTAGCCTGCATTCCGCATGAGGTTCGTGAGATAGCCGGTCTGCGGGCTTCACAGCAAAGACAAAATGTCGGTTGTGGACGTCACATGGAAGATTCTCTCAGCTCGATTCCTAAGCATCTCTGTCAAACGACGCCTTGCTGCTGAAGAGTAGAAAATACACACACACACACACACGCACACACACAAAGAGCGTGCACATGTGCATTCATACACCTTCCTGGGGTGCATGTGGCTTTGAGAAAGGATGGCTAATTTCCTCTTCCCGTTACCCCGCCTCGCCCTAAATACACATAACATCCCTCGGACATGGTCAGAGGAAGCAACTCCCTGTCCGCTCTAGGTGCAGCAGCGGTTTGCGGGGGTCCCACTTTAAAGCAGCAGAGCACAGGCCCAATGCCGTTCACTTACACTGAGAGCGGCAACTCCCTGCTAAGCTGATTTATCATGAAACTGTGAGCAGAAGCATTTGTCAAGTTACTTACACTGTTAATTGTCTTGTTACACCTGCCATAAACAAAGAATAATCAGCTAAATGCATCTAGATGAAATTCTACAGAACACATATTGCTAGGAATAAATGAGCGCATACCCTCCCCCTCAGAGGAAAATGCTAACACGATTTCCTCTTGTGAATTCCTCCATCTTTACCCCGGGGTGACTTATGACCAAAACCGTACCCTTAAGCTGACCCCATAGCCAGACACCGGTGACCTCAGCCGACGGCGGCCTCCAGAATTCCCCACGTGTTTCATTAACTCCTACACAGGCAGAGTGGAGGGAGAAGTTTTACGGAAAGACGGAGGGGGTTCTCACTCGGGTGCGGAGTGAGACCTAGAAGCATAAGCAGCTTTCTCCTTCTCCGACCGCAGAGGGCGGGTCTGTGGTTACCGCTGCCTCCGCTGAGCAAAGCCCAGCGCCCTGCACACAATGTCTGCTCCGCTCAAAAACCACTTCCTGTGTCGCCAGAGGACATGACTGGCAAACTAATCAACCAGAGACATTTTTACTGTCGATTGTGCTTGTTTTTTTATGGAAAATCACTAGCTATTTAAAGTTGTTTAATTTTACTTGAATTAAGGTTTCAAAAAACCCCAAGCAGTGCAATAATTATTTATAAATAATTAAAAGTCAGACCTTAGAGATGTACCTTTAATCTTAGTGACTGCCACTGGCGTTCTGGTAAAACCCCCAAAAAATGGGCTCATTGCACAGAAATAGCCAAGAACTAGAGACTAGACTCTAGAATCATGAAGGTGTGTGTGACCAGAGGCGCTCTTGTCAAATGCAGCTGTTCAGGAGGAGCGGCAGCGGGCGAAGGAACGCAGCGAAAATGAGGTGGAGTCCACCAGCAGTGCCAACGAAGACATGCCCGTGGAGAAGATCCTAGAAGCGGAGCTGGCCGTGGAACCGAAGACGGAGATGTACACTGAGGGGAGTCTGGGCATGCCTTCAAACTCGGTGAGTTCCTTTTGCCTCGAAGGGTCTTTTCCATTTTTAGGCCTCGCCGACCTCCTTCACTGCAGTTCTCATTACCTCCAGGTGTGATATTGTACTGTAAAGTTGCAGAGCAATTGGTGGTTTAAGAGGATGGTTCATCAAAAGGTGCCAGACACATTTAAGTCCTCTGGAACATCAAAGGAAAGCTTGCTAGATAATTCGGTAGTCCTGGCTTAACAACGTATAATGAAGACTTGTAAGGAGGGACTTGATTTATGGTGACATCCTCCAGATTCCTGCGATGATCTACCATTGAACTCATTTAGCATTTGAGCTCATTTAATTTGCTGAATGCGGTGTGTAGTATGTTTCAGTAATAATTCAATAAATCCTACTTTTTTCCATCTGACATTGCCAAGACCTTTCAGATGTAGCTGCTGGGTGGGGCTGTAGATCTCTGTTGTTAAATTAGGTAAGAAATAACCAGTAGCACTTAATGATGTGCATGAGCCGGCAGATTATTTCACCAATCTTACAGACTCTGGCGGTTTTTCAAACAAAGAAAGGATTTGCTGGTGTTTGCTTTTTGGTGTGGTTTATGGCAGAGTACTGCCTGGTCCTGACACTCGCTGGTGGAAATTGGAAATGCAAGTTCTTCACACATTCTCAGCGTCTGACTCCCAAAATAACCGACTAAAGTCTCTTCAATTGTCCTTCATACCCGCAACGTAAACACGAGCTGAATTTCTTAGACATTTAAATTTACTTTTAGCAGGATTCCCTCGCGCTTCTGCCTGAAGCTCCATTTCACAGGATTTTCTGTCAGTAGAAACTGGAGGGAATGCAGGAATGTGTGCAGCGAGATGACTCAGTCCAGTTTGCTTTCACAGATGAAGACGGAGGATGTGGGGAGGAGGAGGGGATCAGGGGAAGCAGGGAGAGCAGACGAGCTCTGGGGATGTTCTCGTGCAGAAATGGGAAAAGAAGTCGGAAGGGCAGCGACTGTTATGCGAGTAAATGGGTGCTATTTCTGAGCTGATGGAAATGTACATTGTGAAAGCTGACATTAAGGGGGGCTCAGTGGACCTGCTAGCAGCTGCTACATACTAAAGCACTCTAACACTGGAGACTCCCGTCCAACTCAGCAGCCCCACAGGGTCAGTGGGATAAGCGCGATGCAGACATGACTGAGGTGAGACACTTTGAGTCACATTCACCAGCGCCTCCGACGTGATTGGTCATTTTGCAAGTAGTGTGCTGGAAACATGTAACTGTCCCACCAGAATTCAATTGGATCAAACAGAGCAACCTGCAAATTTTTATCTATCAAATTCTACCCAGCTGATCGTTTTAACATATAAACGTAGCTGCTGTGTTCTGTTCTAATTAGTCGCCCTCCTCTGTGTTTGAAGTTGTTAAAGTCTGCAGGTTTCACTCATTGGTTTACGCAAGTGAATGTTAGTCAGATGAATTGGCGATCCTTGTCCCGGAATTTCCCTGTATAGACGCAGAATGTTGTGCCGTTTGTTGCCGGAGACTCAGCATAGTCCCACTAAGTTTCTGTCTGAGTCGTTAGGCGCCAGCCCCCCATGTCATAATTAATCAGAGTTGGTGTCAAGAAGAATCCACACTGTCACTTAATCGCTAGAATTTGGTCAAGCTGAATGAAATGCATTTATCTCGTAGCATGTAGTTAAACAGTCATTACTAAGAAGTTGAATGCCTTTGTCTTTCCCTTCTGTTTTCGTATTTCATGTAATACTTCTTGCATTGGCTGAGGATTTGGCATGATATGTGACATGGTAGTGTATATTTTGATAGTTTCTTTTGTCAAAACTGTTAGATAAATATGGGGAGAATAACTTGGAAACTAGGGTCTATATTACATTCAACATCTGTGCAAGGAAAGATTTTTGAGTAAAATATAGAGTAAACAAAGTCATATTTGTATTGTATTAATTGGTAAGAGGGCCTGGAAGCTGAAAGCATGAAAGGGCTATATCACAGTCAACCCACAAGGTACGTTTTTAACGTTGCGTACCAACATGTTAATCATTAGCCAGTCGCTAACATTGTAGTTTCATCTGAAGTGTTTTGAGAGCTGTGTTGCAGAGCTGTGTTTTGAGAGCTGTGTTGCAGAGCTGTGTTTTGAGAGCTGTGTTGTGGTATCACCACTTGTATTTGTTTAATATGTGTGAATTTTGTTTTGAGTGCGACCCGTTCATTACGCGCAAGGGGCTGATTTTTCCGTCAGGACTCACTTTGCCAAGTGGACACAGTGAATGGAAGGTCACATATACACAGCAAATTACAGAACCATCCATGATTTCATATGAGCTCTGGTGTTCAATGGAAACTCTGGGAAATTACTTATATACTGGGGACATACAGCAGACCTTGGTTTTATGGTGTATACTTTTCTGTATTCATAACTTCATGAATTAATTAAGCATTTTATTTCTATGATCATGCGTTAAGCTGTGTTCTTCATAAAATGTTAACATACTGGCTAAATCAATATATATTCTGTTGTTCAAATAACCAGATGGCTGATGATGTCACTGGCATATGAAAATCGCTCCCAGAACACAGTGTCACTTCTGAAAAACAATAATGTCTTTCCTGAATCCTTCTGCACTGAATTCACTTGCCATTTGAAGTGTGAGTACTGGGGATTTCCGGTGCGGTGCAGCTAACATTCGGATAACCAGCTCACTGCCCCAGTAAACACCAGTGACAGGTAGCTAAAGGAGCCTGGAAGAAAGATAGAGCAAGTCAGCTATGGATAAAACGCTCGTCTTAGTTTAATCTCCTCGGAGAAACTTCATTTGAAGTTTGGATCCTTAAGACTGTGAAGCTTAAAGAAGTGAAAGTGGTCGAAAAGTCTTTTGCCATTTCACTCGTTCTGAATATCAATCAGTTGTCATTATCATTAAACCGGCAATGCTTCTCATTGGCCCTGTTTACGTGTTGTCTTAAAATGCCTCTTGGGTGATCGGATCACAAGTGGACCGTCGGGACTCATAACCATTTACATCTGTGTCTATCATGTATCTCCAAGGTGTCCGGCAGACCACTTGTGTTCAGATTTTATTACTGACCCGTGCACAGTTATTGTAACATCCTTTTCGGGGACACATCCAGGACACATTAGCGTTTATGTGACAAAAGATATGTGGTTAGCTGCATTCCAGACCACCACTACTAGTGCTCACGGATCACATCTTGGTGGTTCTTTACACTTGTATTTAGCGCTGTCTGCTTGTGATCTGATCACCCAAGACGCATTTTAACACCAAGTGTAAACAGAGCCAAAGTGCGCTCCGTAGCTCCATTGGCAATTCTCTGCTTTTTTTTTTGCCTACCAAAGTGCATGGTGAGTTTTTGTGGTGTCAGACCTGCTCAAACTAAACAGTTAGACATGAATGTACGTTTAATATTCAGACATTGTCCATCCATCTTCTGTAATTGCTTGTCCTCTTCAGGGTCGTGGGGGGGTCCGAAGCCTTTGGGCACAAGGCAATGAACAGTTCAGGATGGGGTGGAAACCCATTGCAGGGCAGAGTCACACACCTACGGGCAATTTGGTAACTAGTTTACCTTAGCAAGTTTTGGGACTGTGGGAGGAAACAAGAGTACCCGGAGGAAACCCCACGACGATACGAGAGTCTAACCCTGTAAGCTCCACACACACAGAACCTGGGGGAGAGTCTAACCCTGTAAGCTCCACACACACAGAACCTGGGGGAGAGTCTAAC